CCATTATGGGCTCAAAGCTTTACATAGCTTACTATGGGCTCGTTTTCTTTTGAGTACTGGTACATTACTCATAGTAAATAAGTGGTTGCCAGTTGACAGAGAAATAATACTGACAATTGAAATTATATAGCAGTTAGGGTAACTCTGAAAACAATTATTATACCATCAGTCTTAGGGGAAGAAGTTGGGGTAGGGAAGAATAACAGTCTTTTTTTTTTTTTCTTTCGATAGTAAAGGGTTATTTTTTTAATCCATTTTAACTTAAAAAGCAGAGATTTGCCTGTTTGTTTGTTTGTTTTTAAGCTCATGCTTCTTTTTTCGATCCCAGCCAAGACTATCAAATAACTTAATAGCCAGCGGCCTCTTTCTGTCTTATGGGTGCAGTGATGCAGCTTGATACCATGTGCATTGGTGTTTGTTGACTTGAACTGACTTCTCCTGTATTACAGAATAAAGCAATTTTTCTGCATTACTCCATGGTATAGCTCAGTCCTATGGCTACCCCAAAGGATGACAATCCCATGGTCTAATCAATCCTGAATTCCTCATTTGACAATGCAAACATGTCATGTCAGTTTTGGCAGTGGGATTTAACTGGTAAACACTTGCCCTTTGCATTCAGTCAATCACCTGATAGACACAGTAAGCAAAACTCTCTCTTACATTATCTTTATTTCATAGAGATAAAATGATAATTGCCTGGGTTTTCCTCCTAGCACTGTTCCCATTTGCTGTATTTGCTTTGGGATATATTCATGCCTTACACAACAGCACCTAATGTAGATATAAATGTCTTTTATGATGTCTGTCTTTCAGAGGCTGATGAAGTGATTCATATTTCCTGCTATCCAAAGCAGCCAGCTTCTGTTTTTATGCAGCCAGTGGTAAAGAATAGGGGTTGTATTCAAACCATCTGCCATATATGCCTAGTGGAGACATGATGACTACTTCTCCCATTGACTGTGCAAATTGGCAGCCTTCGGTAGTATGTGGTCTGAATCATTCAACAGCCTCTTGAATTTAACCACAGTAAGCACTAAGCCGATCTTAAGCACTCTTGTAATTTAAGAAACCTACGAGTAAAACTACCTATATATCTGATGATTATTTTCATTTTCTTTGGTGTCATTAATAGAGTGAAAGGATTGGTTCACCTCTTTACCGCACAAAGCCAGTACAATATTAATTCATACTGGATGGTTTTGAATCCATAAAGCTACAGCAGGGTTAACACAGCACCAAATGGAAATGGTTTTAATTTCCAAGACAGTTGTGTCCCCATGGACATGTTAGCCTGTATACAAGATTCTATACAGGCAGTGCATTCAGAATACAGAGATTCAGTCCAAATGTTCAGGATAACAAAGGCACTAGGAGCACTTTAAATTAATGATAGATCAGTCGTGGGCTGACTAACAAAGGAATTCCTAGGAATTTTCATTTGACACCCACATTCATCCAGATTACATGGTGCCATCAGTGTCACTGGTGACATCAGTGCTAAGATGAGAGTTAACTTTATCCCACTTTACAAAGAATGAGACTTTTAATCAGATCACTGCAATCATTGCATAGGTGTCCTGGATGATAAAGGATACAGAAAGTCTGTCTCCTTGATTTGTCCTAGCAAGTGAAAGCCATCATGTACGTGCTGCTGTTCCATGGGTTTCCATAGGAACTGCTTCTTCACCCAGCATTTTGTTTCCAAGTACTTTTCTCCCACTCACATTTCACCAGCACACATCTTCAGAATTTCCATTGACTTCAGATTATATTAGTATCTCATTAGGATTTGATTGTTCAGTCAGGCTCTAAGGTTAAGTGTATCTGATCTGTTTTGTTTAGATGACTCCTATTTTGGGCTGGGCCTTCAGCTAATGTAGATCAGTGTATATGTAGTGGTTCCACCTTATGTTTCTGTGAAGATCTGATCTGCTAATTGCTGAATGAAATGATTTAAAGTTACATATAATATGTTTATAACAATATATATTTTAAAAACTTGGGTTATGAATGTAGTTAGATTATGTTGTATATAGATAATTCACTACAGTCAGCAGACATTCCCATTTAGACATTATTCTGCAGCTGTGTCTCAGCAGGCAATGCTAGTAAGAAGCATGGCAATAATTGCCCCGTTTCTTATCTTTTTGCAGTGTGGGGATATTTTTCTTTCCTTTTTTCTTTACATATGGCTGGCATTGAATCTCTTCCCAGTGACATTGTAATGTATTATAGTATCTGTAGAGGGAGACAACATAAATGATAGTGAATTGGACTGGAAATGTGAGAAGTTTTTCATTTTGAGCTTGGCTTCCCTATCCTCATTTTGACTGCATTGCAACTTTTTGAAGGATCCTTGGATCTCGCAGTCTGATAATAAGAAAGATAAGCTAAACAAGGCCTAATTATTCATTAGAAATGGAATGGAGTTTGTCAGCTGTTTTTCACATATAAAATAATATCTGTTATTTAACCCAAACTCCTCTGTGCAAAAGATGTAGAAAGCTTGCAAGAGGTCAGTAGAAGTTGCTTTGGCTGCTGTTTCTTGTTATTGTTCTTAAAAGAAAATGTGGTCTGAAATAAATTACATTTTTCTTTGGAAAGGGTTTTTTGTCGACTTATATGGTGAATGCTGTACAATGTCTGTAGGAGTGCGCTGAACTCACTGTTGGATGCTAAATATACTCATCCACATTCTTCAGGGAATTACGATCCGCTCTTGCAGCTGATGTAGTACAAGAGAACCCTGCTCTACACATAAATGGTTGACTAAGAAATCCTTCACACAGGAAAACAACATATCTGTTGTCCAGTGGACCCAGTGTCAACATTGCTCTTTCTGAGATAGGGTGCATTAAGAGAAAATCTGTCATCTATTTGCCTAAGTCCATTAATGGTCCTTCTTTTAAAAGAGAAGTGGAGAGTCATGGTTGCTGTTTGAACTAAGACTCAAATATCTTTACTGGATTGATACAACCCATAACCCTAAGGCTTTCTTTTGCTTCCCATGTAATCATTAGAGCTGTGATACAGAAGAGCACCAGGCCATCTTTCAGCTGAAATATGAGTTAGATTCTTGTTTTATTTTCATTTGGCTTATTCTGGTGTAAAATAAATTCTAACCAGAAGAAGAGTCAACTGGAGCCAGGCCTATGTCTGAGGATACCCAATTAGATTATTAATCTAAACTCAGGTATGTCTTTCTGGTATTTATCCCAGAGAACAGACTCTTTGTCAGGATATCAGTTGAGCACTTTCCAAGTCTTGGTAGGCAGTCTGAGTTCAGATTAAATATATCATTGAAAGGTAAAGCTCATGGAAGTGTAAGAGTAAATTCTAGGTCTGTAAAGGATAGTTGGAAATATTTTCAAGAAGAGCGATCAGTCATTGAGAGTGCTGCTAACACACATGCATCAGACAACTGTAAAATACATTGTGTAGTCAATATCTGTCTTAGTTTGTGAAGGTACCACGGTATTAATTTTCAATAAAGAAAATTCAGGCTTAGACCTTAGTTTGACAGTTCTTTTCTGTCTGCTCTTTCTTAGAAAGTTACATTGCATCACTATGGGCAGAAATTGCTCAGGTGCGAATACAGTATTAGGACAACAAGTTTTAGGAACAAGCAAATCATCTGCAGGGTTTCCAATGCATTATTGAAGCTTATAATGATTAAACAACAGTATTGGCAGGTCTAACATATGCATGATGTGGACATTGGAGATTTTGGGTCAAAGGATTTGGAAATAAAAAGAAGCCAAAAAAAAAAAGGCAAGGAAAATAAAAGTATAAGAAGAGCAATTAGAGATATTCTACTGTAACAGAATGATCCTGAGCTTCTCTCAGAAACAGCTTGTATTTTTGCAGTATTGTGGCCTGTATTACGCAGAAGTTATACCACACCACACCAGTATGTTCTCAACTTCAAAAATGTTCATATAATTCATCATTGTAGAACTTCAGTGAGAATGGTGTAATATCACAGTGAAGAACATGGTATGCTGCCTTATCCTCTATCATGATTTACTCTATAATGAAAGAGAAACATTTGATATATACAAGGAATAACAAAAATATATAATTTTTGCTGATAAAGAAAGTCTGATTTATTATATAATATTCTTCAAATTGCTCCTGCACAACATATGTGTGTTAATTAAACACATTGAAGTCAGATTTTTTTTCATTAAAATTGGCTCATTTATAATGGTGAGTTAATTAGGTTGTTTATAAAGAAAGAGAGCTCTAAAGGCAAATTGCCATGAATAAAAGCAAGAAGAGATCTGAAATGATTTCAATAAAGTCATGAATAACTTATTAGTATCTTCAGGTTCCTCCAAAAATAAATAAAAAATAACTTTTCTTTAATTTCTTCTTAGTTTGTTTGTGCAGATGCTGGAACAAAACTAGCTGAGTCAACAATCTTGCATAAACAGATGATTGCCTCTATGCCTGGAGTAAGTACTGAATCAAACTTCATCTCTTAGTTTTGTTTTTCAAAAGATGTATCTTATTCAGCTCCTTTTGCTTCATTTTAAAGTTCTTTCCTTTTAATTTCTCTTCAGGTTGGCAAGGTGCAGGCAGAGATTGAGATGCTTTTTCTGTTTTATTAATGTTGGAAAAGTTCTGAACTTGATGTTGCTTCCCTTACTTTCACTGATAATCTTTAGTCATGTAACTAACTATAGCTGGAGCCTGTGCTCAAGAAGACAGCATGTGGGGAACAGACCAGCTGAATGAATGCCTCAAAAAATAGTAGCAGGGAGGAAAACTACAAGCCGTTGCCTCCATTCTCACAGAAGATTATCTGGTTAAAGAAGGGAGTTAATGGTATTTTTCTGGTAATGTATATGGCATTCGTCTGTATCCTGCTGCTGAGAGTAGCTAAATTACCAGTGCTCATACCAGCACCTAGCTGCTGAATAGGCACCTGGTGAATATGCGAGGAAGTAGCACAACTGGAGGTCTTGCCTTGTTCCATGACACATGTGACTGAGTACCCAAGCAGATGGATGAGGGTTAGCCCAGGTCTGCTTCACAACCTGAGGAAAATTTGTTTACCTATATGCATGTGTCTGTCAGCTTTAGGAGTGACCTAATAGGATCTTTCTCATGTATCTTCTGAAGTGTGTGATTTTTTTTTTTTTGGATGCAAATCTTTAATAATACCTTTCCTCCCAACAAAATATTTTAAATTATACTTGCTGTAAATAGACTAACATTGGTGTTACAAGGTACGATAGGAAAGCAATAATTTCCGAAGAAATCATAGAGAATCAAGCTGCCTGCTGCTTGAATGAAACAGAATAGATGGTTGGACAGAAGTCTTTTGCAACTGAGCATTATTTTCAGAGGTCTGAGTATAGTATCTTTTACAATTCTATTATTCAATATTTTAGAACCCATGTGGAATCCTTGGTCCACATAAACTGGATGGAGGATATACTGACAGGACTGCCAGTGACCTTGTTTTACTGTTTGTTATTCTGTCAAGGGAACTGACAGGCATAGCATTTGAAAAGCCAGAAGGTGGCATAGTTCAACACCGTGTAGATTGATATTAACATACAAAAATGAGAAGCACCCAGGTCAGTTGCTTAAAAAAAGAATGCTAGCAGTTTTTCAATTTCAGTTACTAAAACTCAATTAAGGCTTAATTTTGTGATCAAAACTAAATCTGGTTCATTTGTGTACTCAGATGTGGTAATTGGCTGCTGTGCTTCAAAGTGTAGGTAAATAGAGGTCAAAGACGAGTAGTTTTCCCCTGTAAACTTTACTGCAATGTTTTGCCCTGAGCCTATGACTTTGGATACAGTAGTTTTTGGTGACTTCAAAAAGATACCTAATTTGATATTTTCATCATTTAGTCTCAAAAGTTAAGCATTGCGTTTATTTGGCCCCTAAGAACGAGGCATTCATAGTTCCCCTTGAGTTCAGCTAGCATTATCTTCACCTCAGACTATTAACATGTAAACAGAAGTTTATATGATACCTAGGGGGTCAGTTGTATCACCTTCTGAAAGCTCTTCTCCACGGTTCTCTGGTGTGTTTGAAGCCTTTATTTAATCTGACAGCTTTGTTCCATTGACTGCTCTGTACACCTTGGGCACGGCTTGTGCTATCCAAAGGCCAGATTCACATTTCTCACTGTGTTCTAGGAAAAGGATTATGAAAATTTGTACTGTGGGAATACAACATGGAGTCCTTTTGTTTTCCCTTGGAGGTCATTCTTGCTCTGGCACAGGTTGCTTCTGAATGCTTACACCTTTATGGTCAAACTGGAGCAGTTCATGATGGATTTCATTTATCCCTTATAGTCCTTGCCTCCCCTTTTGAAAATTGCAACTAGCTTAAGTGCCGTTAGAATGCTGCATTTTGAATGATTTTGCTTCAGGAATATCCCAGAAACATTTGTTAGTTTAAACAAAAGAAAAGAAAAAAAAAAGTAACACGTTTCAGTGGTGTTCATTTTAGTGATGTTTACATATAAAATACCCAAAGCCAGTCATTTAAACTGTTTTTCCATCATTATTAATGTGAACATAAGGGCATCTGTGACTGAATTTTGTTTTCTGGGATTGTAGCTGATTGGGTTTCACGTGCAGAAATGCTCAGCTGCTTGAAGAACCGAGTTGTGAAACTCTCATCGACTTTTAAAGACTTTGATTCTGGACCACTGTAAATTTCAGGATGACATGACAAGGATATTCTTGAAAGTTTCATGAGTTAATCTTTTATTGCTGTTAGAGTATTTTATGGTGCATGAAGAAGCTACAGTGACTGGGCTATATTTTTGTACTATCATCAGATAAGAGGGCATATTACTACAGTGAGAAGAAAAACATCAAAGAATACCTATTCCTAATTGAAGTAATCAAACTAAAAAATAAAATAAAGAATTTGAGACAGACAAATTGTGTTCTGCTGAACAAGAAACAAAGACAAAAACATGAACATACTCAAAACCTGGTACTTACTTAAACATCTTTCTTTTATATTCTAGTGTGGAACAGCAGCAATGGAATGCATGAGGCAATATGTTGGAGAAGTGCTGGATTTCATTGCAGATATGCATACCTTAACCAAATTAAAGGTTGGTTCTGGGCATACATTGATCTAAAGTGTATGTGCTTTTTTAACAAAAATATGTGTTCTGTAATGAACCTGACTGGGAGAAATGGTTGGAAGTCTTTGAGGATAACTGACAGGGTTTTTTTATTTCTTTTTAAAAAAATGTTAGCACTGTTGTAGATTAGACACTTCTAGGGGATCAGTAAAAAGTAGCTTATGCAATGTTGAAATAGAGGCTGGTTCACATGTAGTGAGCACATAATAAAAATGCAGGCTTCATTTTTCTGAAATGTTGATGATAAGCTAATATTAAGTTTTTCTGAAATGTTGATGATAAGCTAATGTTATACCAGAATCACTGTAAGAAGTAGTCGTGTTTAATATAACCCATGGAAACATAAAACTCCTTGCCTGTACAACTTATTATACTCTTCTGGAGGAATCCTGTGTCTTATATACACAAACAGACACTTAAGTTAAGTGGAAGTTCAGAGGTTATTAAAATGCAGTAATTGACCTAAAAAAAAACCCAAAACAAAACAAAAAGGAGAGTCCTTTTTCTTGTGTTTTCAGTGCCAGGCTATATTCTGTTGAGGTGGGGAAAACTGAGTAGTTATGATCCCTGTAGTCCAAACTGCCTTTTGGTTTCTGTACATTAGTTTGATGCCAAATTGTAAGAGGTGTCATAGGAAAATACTTCTGTTGACATAAAATATTTTATTTAGGAATGGATTTCATTAAAACATCCTAGTAATAATTAGGTGGTCAAACCCTGGATTTTCTGTTTCATGGGGGAAGCCAATATCTACTAAATTTCCTACAAAATGGAAATTCTTTAAGATGTTTTAGGAAAAAACTAGGCTAAGTAACATTGCTGCTATATAATAGGAAATAATAGAAGTGTCGCTGTTTCAATTGATAGAAAAGTAACATCTATTGTTAGTATTATTATTATTATTATTGTTAGTATTATTGTACCATCTGAAGCTGAGTACTAATTGAGCACTGAGCTGGAGGTGAAACTTGGTTGTTGAAGTCCTCCTTTTTGTAGAGGGAAAGCACCTGTCTTGCATTGGAACCATCTGTCACTTGTCAATGCCAGGCAAAGTTAGAGCATAGTCTTTTGAGCTACATACTGGTACCCTGCACAAGGGTGGATTTCCTTCAGCACATAAAATGGAGGCAGAGGTGTGACCAGGCCTTGATGCTTCTCACTTCTGCAAAGCTGGCAAGACAAATGAATGATGTGGGAGTGCAGCAGAGGTACTGTTACAGATAGGGACGAGAGTCTATGCTGTCAAAGATGCAGCCAGTTCTGAAATCTGGCAGTAGACTTTTAGTCCTTGTACACTAGTAACTCAGAGATCCAAGGGGAAGTTCATCAACTCGAAGAGGGAATTTCACCACTGGGCACAGTGCTTTTCAAATTTTGAAAATTCTACTCTCTGTAGAAATTCAGTGAACAGAAATAGTTAAAGTTATTTATTAATTTCCAATGTCTTATTTTGCATGTCTGAGAATAGATTCTTTGAAAGAAGTTAATTATTTTCAGTCCTTCAGCAACTACTGCATTATAAAAAAAGTATAAATGTTAATTCTCAAGAGAATCACATTCCAGTTTATTGTTTGTGTACAGTTTATTATCTTTTTTCCCTTTGGGGTAACGTTTTAATTGGTAAAGCTCAGCAAGGTTTTATTTAGAAAATTCTACCACTTTTGAAGAAGTATAATGTATCTGCCTGCATACTTGTCTATCCTTTTTACCCGACTCTATAACAAAATCATTAGATATTTGTGCTAGTACATTTTTTTTTTCTTTTGAAAGAGTCTTCAAGTGATTTTTGAGAGTGTAAGTTGCCGGGGTCAGATACTTATCTATTATAAGATATTATTGGTCTACTGATTTTTATCCTGTTGTAATAATTTAGTAACTGATGACCTGGATTTTCTTGTGCAAAGCATATGGATCTTCTTTAAACATGCAAATGCACTCAATATGTGTTCTGCTAGTCTAGTAAGAGAAGGTAATGCAAAATTAGTTTAATTAGAAATACAGAAGTATCTCAAGAAGCACCAAACATTCCTTAGAGCTGACAAGGCAGGATAATAAATTATCTTTCCAGGCATAAATATTTGCATGTTTCTTGGTAAAAGGTTTAGCCCTTTAATTTTCAGGGCTGAAAGGCATTTGCAGCAGCTGAATAGTGGAACATAGTCATACTGCTGGTGAATGAGTGACAGCTTATTTCCGTATATGTAAATGCAATATTGCACAGGGAAGGCATTTCCTGCCCAGATGCTATCTTGTTAAATGGTTAGATTATTTCGTCTTCACTTAAGCTGTTGGGATGTGCAACCATTAGTTTGTATTCATTAGCTGTTGAGTTTGCTGATACAAAAGGTGCCTATACATTTTCGCACTTTTTATATTTTGTGTGGGCTCTTGAAAATGGGGCCCTCCGTGGAAAGATCTGCATTATAAAGCTGTTACTAATATAGGAACTGGAGAATTTTTAAAAATCTCTTTCTGAGTTTTGTTCTGTAGTTTTGTAGATGCAGTTAGGGACCCTGAGAAAGGAATTGAAGGGAAATGGAATAGAATACACTGTTGCTTGGAAGAACTTAGTTCAAGTGAAACACTCTTTTCAGGTAGGAAATCAGATCTTTGCCTTGCAGAGTCACATGAAGACTTGTTCTCAGCCACTGCATGAAGACACGTTTGGTGGACATCTGAAAGTTGGTTTAGCTCAGATTGCTGCTATGGAAATCACACGGGGAAACCACAGAGACAACAAAGCTGTGATCCGATATTTGCCTTGGCTTTACCATCCTCCTTCTGCAATGCAACAAGGGTGAGAATGCTTTTCCACAAAAAGGAATACTAACATGAGTTAGAAATCGTCACAAAATTCTGTGTTTATTCCCAGATTCCATAGATAAGACCCGCAGTAGGGAATGGTGGCCATGGGACACTGAAACAGCTGATCAGCAGCTCCCTGATCCTTAACTGAGGAGTTCATGAATGCTATATTTAAAGTACATGCCAAAGGGACAGTGGAGCTAACTTCATTGGCTTAACTGGAGTTACCCTGGAAATTAACTTGATTCTTAATCTAGATACAGACAGTGAAAAGCACACAGGTACTTGATCAGTCCTGTAATTATAGAAAATATGTTGGGAATTACAGAGTATACAATGGGAAATGTCCTTTGAAATTATGGAGTAGAAATGAGCAAGACCTCTAAGTGTAAGCCGATTGATATGATGATAAAAATACTAACTTCATCTGGTTAAAGTTAGGTGAGAGAAATCCTTTTCTTCAAGACGTGTTTTTTATCCCTTTTCACTGTGAGAAATCCTAGTCTGCAGTGTTTTATCTTCAAAGAGAAGGGAGATGCTCTCCCTTGTCTTACAATGACAACAAACGAGACGTTTTGAGTGTAGACCATTGGACTGTGTTTCAACAAACCTGTATTCTTGTCCCAGCTTTGTCCCAGACTACTGCCCCAGGATTCTTGGGGACTAAGCTACTTAGGCTCCAGTCCTGTAGATGCATCTGCATGTATTTCATGTAGAGCATATCTAGTTTTGGAAATACGGACTTGTTATCTCCTTGCACTTTGGTTTCTTACATGTTAAAAAGGGACCGTGTGTTCTGAGCTGGAGGTAGTAAATTAGAAATTAAAAATAGCAGTGAGAGTGGCCTAGTAAGCAGTGATTTATTGATTGAAAAACCATTCTTGTTTTCCTGTGCCTATGAATTCAAATGAGTATGTAATCTGAACTTGGTAGCAGCAAGGAGACAGACAAGATGACACCAGAAAACTGTTATTCCTTTTTAGGTTATATAAGCACATTGCTTTACAATTATACATTACACTAGATGGTGGATTAATACTTAAGTGTCACAAAAAAGCATAGTCCCTGCCCTCAAAATCAAATGTCCAAGGAGAGGCTAAGGAAAAGAGAAATTAACTCCACATTACCGATGGAGAAGTGGAACACAGTGGAAGTAAGGCATGGCACGCCACCTTCCTCAGAGCTCGCTGTGGAATGAAGAACTTCCTGCCATGGCACTGTCAGCCATGTGCTGTCCAGGGGAGCTAAGAGGAGCATTGCCACTTGGGCAACCCTTCCCGTCTGATGGTTTCTGTGTTAAAAAAAACCCAACCAACCAAGCAAAAAAACCAACCAACCAACCAAAAACAAACAAACAAAAACAAACAAAAATTAAAAATCACTGTGTATGGAACGAGTGAATGTGTGAATGTTTTAGCCCTTTATAGAGACGGTTTCTTAGACACACCAAATATATTCTGTTGGACATCTTAGTGGACTTGACGTACCATTAACTTCTGTGTGGTTCTAGTCTTCCCATAAGCTGTACCAATGATCTGTGCCTCCAGCACACTGAGACTGCATCTGCCTAGTGTGCATAAGGGGACTCCATATTTCAGGGAAGAACAGAAAACTTAGCATCATTGTGAAATCTGCTCTTTCTTGACAGGCCCAAAGAGTTCATAGAATGTGTCTCACACATTCGTTTACTGTCCTGGCTACTTCTGGGGTCTCTGACACACAATGTTGTCTGTCCAAATTCTCCGTCGTCTTGCATGCCTATTCCACTGGATGCAGGTTCACAAATTGCTGACCACCTTATTGTTATTCTGATTGGGTTTCCAGAGCAATCAAAGGTAAGGGATTCTGCGTTTTACATGGAGATGTGTTATATATGGGCCTTATTATTGCAAACACTTATTTTTTTCTTTGTAACAAAAAAGGAAGGGTAAAACCTTATTATTAAAACCTGGGATCTAAAAAAAATCTCTAGTTTTTCTTGCCCAGTTGCCTCCTCATGCATAGAAAACTGGTGATGAAATCACTACATTTGAAATTCATTATTTCAAAATATCTCAGCACAGAAGTGAGGAAGGAAAAACTGAGTTCCAAATTGAAGCTTTAGCAATGACTATCTCTGTAGCAAATATCTCAGAAAGTTATTTATTCTAGTTATATAGTAGAATTGGATAACCTAGAAATAATGTTATGATCAGAAGTTAATTACAAACAGTGGTGGTTCAAGCACAACTTATTTTTCTTAAGGTGCTCTGGACAAGAAGAGTTATTGCAGATTGTAAGCCGTTTGTGACAGTAATTTTAACACAGATATAGCAGCACTCTTTGACACCAACCAGGTTGTTATTAGCAACAGAAGCAGAATGATCACACATTTATCTTGTACGTAAAATCCCCCTTTATTTCCCCTCACCCGGCCAAGACACTGGTGCTTCCCATTCAGTTCTTTGGCCTTTTTTTGCTCTTTCAAATACCTCTTTCCAGTTACCAAGCAACCATTGCAATGTTTGGTGCAGTCATACTGCCACAGAGCATGAATCACTGTTGCACTTGCAAACTGAGAAAACATCTCTGACCAGAGGCATCTTTCTCATAATGAATGTCCAGCACTCCTGGAAGTTCAGACAGTGATATATAACACATATTAGCAAAGACCCATGTTTGAGTATGCAAAATGAATTCTGTGTTAGCTTTTCAAAACTTACTTTCCTTGACTGTGAGCAGTTCTGTCCCAGCAAGGTAGAAATGGATGGCAGATGAACAGAACAGATGTAAGATGATGTATTTTGTACGATAGCCTGCCTTTAAGGCAATCAGAATCTGAATGACTTACCCCAGCAGCATTTTTGAAATGGGGTCATATGTGCCAGAGCCTCCAAGCCTTCCACAGATTGCGGTGGAGTTTTCCATCAAGAAAGTCTCAGAACTAGTCCTGAGTAGCTGTTCTGCAAAACTACCCTTCTCTTTAAAGGAACTGACGTTAATGCCATACACTAAGATTGCATGGGAGTCTGCGTTTGCAAATGCAGTTTTTAGTCTGTAATATAAAAACAGTTTTTAAACATGGAGAAGATGTTATCAAGTGTGCTTGACTTACTAGTTCCTAATGGGAGGGAAACATCTGGGGAAGTGAGGGGCAAGACTGCACAGTGGGATGCCTGACAGAGGAGTGCTTTGATGAAAGCCTCTGCACTGTATCCCAGTACACTTATTTAAATAAAGATTTTCCTCTGTTTTCTGTTTCTACAGACATCTGTTCTGCACATGTGTTCCCTCTTCCATGCATTTATATTTGCTCAGCTCTGGACAGTGTATTGTGAACAAACAGCAGTAGCTCCGACAGTCCAGAATCAGAACGAATTTAGCTTTACTGCAATCCTTACAGCCCTGGAGTTCTGGAGCCGAGTGACACCTAGCATCCTACAACTAATGGCACATAACAAAGTGGTGAGTCAGGTGCTGTGTACAGATTTAGTACAGATTAAATGCGGAAGGCTTTGCTTTGTTTCAGTGTTTCATTGGATTACATTGGACTATGAATAACACCATAAAGCAACTTTGATACTTTTGAGAAATTAAAGGGAAAGCTAATTAGTAGTGGTTTAACCGCACAGTAGGCCTGAAACAGAATCAAGAGCTAAAGTCGCTGCTTGTTGGATTAAGGTCTCCCTGCATCAGGTCTTATTTTACATAACTTTCTGCTCTTCACAGTGGTCCTATTGATTCATCTGACTCTGCCTTACAGGAGCAACTAAGTGTTTTAGAATAATTCTGTGAATATCCATTTGAGTATTTTTTTCCACGTGGTCGTGAAAAAATACAAAAATGCTGACACTTGACTACTCATAATCCATTGGTTACTTGTCAAAAATAAGCTACATGAATATCTCTGGAAACATTTTTGAGCAACGAATTACTTGAAGCAGGTATCTCTAGAGATAAGGTTTGAAAGCGAAATGTTTGCTCTGTCCAGAAATTGCCCAGACCATTTTTTGGAAATAAATTTTAAGCATTAATTTATCTCAACTACTCACTGCTGTTAGAGCAGCTTTGTACAATACAAACCCAGAGGGGTTCCAGCAGCCTTCTTGTAGGTGCTACCTTTGCTTCCCATTGACTAATGATTCTCTGTACCTTCAGGCTTAGGGTTGAGAGCTTGTTTCTGATTGACCAGACATATTGTGTTTCCCACTTCCCAGAAAGTCATGACAAGTCTGTCATGACTTGTCAGAACTTTTTAACTTTAACTGAGATAGTGACTAGTAACTCTGGTTCTGGAGAAACTGATATTAGCTTTGAGTGAGAAAGATTCTTTATACGTCGCCCAGTCCTCGAAGTCAGGTGCTCTTAAGGTTTGGGATTTTCATTCTTTGTTTGTTTGGTTGGGTTTTTTTTAATCTTTTTTTTTTTAAAAATGAGACTTGCTATCTATATGGAAATTATTTTATGTAATTCCCCTTTCCCTGTGCAAAACATCTTCCACTTCAGGCAGATATGGACCTTTGCCCTTTCAATTGTAATTGCATGGGCTGCACTTTAATGTCTTTGAACCAGTTACTATTCCCTTGTCTCTTGTCTGTATCAGGCAAGGACCACCTAAAGCTGTCTTTAAATGATATTTTAGCCTCTGACATCTAGTGAGGTCTCTGTGGTTGACAAGCCACTGTTGGGAACAGTAGTTTATGAAGCTCCATTTGAATGAACGAGAAATGTGCATAATGCTTCTAACTAGCCTTCTAACTTCTAACTAGTTGTTTAGTCAGACACAAAGGCTTCTTGTCAAACCTTAGGACAAAAATATGACCTGGAAGTCCCAAGTTCCAATCCTTATTCTGCAAGTATCTCATTATATGGCTTTAGTGCAAGTTATTAAACTCCCTGCCTCAGCTATTGCTCTGTAAAATGTAGATAATAATACTTGCCTGTCTCACAGGGGTGTTGTAAGGTTAATTAGTTAGTGTATGTAAAGCGCTTTGAAGACGAAAAGCACGACATAAAAGCTAAGTTTATTATTATCAAAGGGAATTTACACATAGTTCAGACAGGCACTGTAAATACTCGCTGCTGGCTCAGGGTGTTTGTCTTGTACCTATGAATTACACAATATAAAATATAAAATGCTGTCTACTACCAAATAACTGATATTTGCATCTGTCATAATTCATAGTACAAAATGGAAGAATTATGAACTAGCTGCCAGTTCAGAACAATAAATTGTCTTCTGATGGGGAGGAAAAAAAGAGGTGTTTTTGTGGGTGTGTTAATTTTCAAAGACTCAGTAAATAAAAATATCAATTTGTGACACACTGATTGATGAGAACTACACAGCAAAGGCATGTAAAAGGATTTATGATGTCTGAAAAAAACAAAGCTGAAGCCGACTTGTTTTGATGTGTGATACGAATTAAAATACATCAAACACTTTGAAATATTTAACAGATAGGTGTTGCTGCATCAGTGGAAAATTAAAGAAAAATGCGCCTTATGTGCTCATCTAATATTTAATCTTATATGTCAGTGGTTAGTAAATGCACATATAGTGATTCAGTATAACTGCCAAGCAAATACAGGAAGATAGTTTTTAAAGACTGTTGGCCTAGCTTACAACACCGTTATGCTGGACACTAATTTGTTTTTATGCTTGATTTTTTTTTTTCAAGATGGTGGAAATGGTGTGTCTGCATGTCATTAGTTTAATGGAGGCTTTACAGGAATGCAACTCTACTATCTTTGTAAAGGTAGGCATACTACACCATGAATATTTAATGATGTTGCCTGTCTATTGTGATTTCTAAACATACTGTCCTCTGCTTCCCATCCCGCTCAAAAAAAGAAAGTAGAAGAAGCTGAGGTTGAATGCTAATGCAGAAATAAAACCTGGTAGAGCATAGCAAAAAATAAAATCTCTGGTAAGATTCAAGACCGAGACCATAATCTCAAATTTGAGTTGGCAGAGCACTGAAACAGGCTGTCCAGAGAGGTTGTGGAGTCTCATTCCTTGGAGATACTCAAAACCCACCTGGACGTGATCCTGTGCAACCTGCTTTAGGTGACCCTGCTTTGGCAGGGGGGTTGGACGAGATGATCTCCAGAGATCCCTTCTAACCCCGACAATTCTGTGGTCCTTGATTCTCCAGATTTTTTTTTTTTTTTTTTAAAATGACCTTCTGATCTACTTCCTGCTTCCATTGTTACAATGGTATTATTCCTCTAATAGACTCAGGAGAACCTCAAGGTACTGTCTGAATTTTTAGTCATGCTATAACTTTTAATCATTGTAGGTGCTTTGCAGATCACCTCACTGTTCTGATCCTCACATTTTTTTAGGTTGAGAACAAAAACTTCATGACACAGTGGTTTTCTTGTTATTATATGCCTACGTGTCTGACTTATTCACTATCAAATAATATTTGACTCTTCTTCTGCTAGGATGTGTAATAGAGTATTCTTTGGTTAGGGAATCAAATCCTACATGCTCCATTCATGTAAAATTCTTTTTTTTGGAAATCAGTGGTCAGTCTCCTATGGGTCACCATAGCATTTTCAGAACAGATTGCCAAAGGATTGAGATAGTTTCACAAGCATAAATCAAATTTACTAGCCTTTTTTACATGTTTTCCCATTGCATTATTCTGAAGGGAGTTTTCACATAAAATATCAACAAATCAAGTAGTTAAACGCACTCTGAATCTAACTGAAATATGTTGGTTTATATAGTTCTTCTGTTGCCATAAAGAAAACTTCTGACTGTTGTTTACTCCAGTCTTTTATGGTCAAGCAGGAATTGAAAATAAAGTAGCTAAAATTCAAGGTCTTGATGTCAACTGGCATGAAAATATTCACACTCATTGTGGAAATACAGATTTATAGTAAGTAATGACTTGATTCACTACAGAAACTCTGTCGCTATGGGATGTTAAAGTGATCATGGCTGTCCCTGGAAGACATATGGGCTTCTCTTTCAGCCAGCCAGGATTTGGCTTTGACAAGGATGAAGAATGGCTTTAAAGCTGTGAAAAGAGAGGTCTTTAGGGCCAAATTCTTGCCACAATTCAAATGAATGCTTTCAGGGGGTTATATTTGAAAATATATATCAATAATACGCTAAATCAGGTTAGAAGGACATTGTTGTTACTACAAAATCAAGCTCATAAACCTGTGAAATTCAGAGTTAAGGTGCTAAGTTTTCTTTCATGTTCAGTGGATGGGAGATGAAAAAGTAGAATCTTTTTAAAATCCCCTTTAGCCCCAAAGTGAAATCCTGCAGGAACAATATACATGCATAATATTATTATTATTATAGGATTCATAGTCCCAGGTTACTAATTTTTTTTCAAAACTAACTAATTGTAAAAATATTTATTGTAGATCTGAAAATTAAGTGTCATGATTTGGGGAAAGACTCACTGTATGTTTGAAGTCCTTCAAAGAGGCAGAAGTGTAAAGCTTATTCACAGAGGAACCAGTGAGTGAGTGGCATCTCTATAATTTAAAAAAAGATCAACTTTGAGACTGTCTCTTCTTCAGTGACTGTGAAGAAGACCTGAATTTTGTTACTCCTACTTCAGAAGTCTGTAAGGATGACAATTCTTTGAATATTAGTTGACTGGGCAGCTTTTTGGTAGCTTTTATTGCCCTGCCTTTGATAATGAAGCAATTTGATCTTGTGCTTTAAAGCTTTTTTTTTTTTCCCTTTTCTTTGAGGTTTAAACCTTTCAAACAAGGTCTAGTTTTCATTGAAGGAAAGGACATAGTGTAGTGTGAGAGATTTTTTTTAAACAGAACATTCTTAACACTCTGTTGGAGATTCATTCAGCAAAATTAATAATTCCTAATTACTTCCTCTTGGAACTGAGCACAGTAGCACTGATAAATCCTGACCATTTATCATTCATATAATTATATTTACTGCATTTTCTTTTATTCCACCTAAAGAATCAGGTGCTGCAAAAACTTCATTTGTTAATGAAGTCATTGGATGATTCAACACATACATATTTTTAATGCACCACAACAGGATAGCTGTCTTAGGTGGCCATTTTCTGTATGACAAGGAGAAAATATGGCCTAAAACAATTCAGCTCTCCTTCACTGAAAGAAGAGCTTTCTTTATGCCTGAGATAAGCACTCCTTCATCTCCTCCTTGTGTTGGTGCTGTGAGGTTTCCTCCTCCTGGTACCATGTTGACCTTTGCTATTAAATTAAACTCACACTGATAGCATTGAGACAATGTCTTGATTGCTTCCTATAGTCTTTGAGCCACTCCCTGTATTCTCAGAGGATATTTTTTTGATCTGATATTAGACTGTCTTTACCAATCTGGTGAGGAAAACAAAGTTTTTTTCCTGTGAAAACATTTCAACTGTTACGTATTTATTTTTCTTTCGAAGTTGGAATGAGATATATATGTATACACATTTATGCAGATGCATGCATACCCACATATATATTTAATTCATTATGTTTTCCTCTGAGGGGAAGCATTCTGCTTTAGGAGGGCTGAAATGGAAGTGTTCATCTTTCATCCTGTTTTTCTATGTCAAAGGAACTGGGAAACTAGCCATCCCAGGACAGGCACTGGTGATGGATACCAGCTCCTTGCTGATTAAAGCTCTCTGACCATCAGAGGTATGTCTGATGAATTTGGGAGCCTACAGTAGAGAAGGGAGCAGCTCAGCAAACCACAACGTCTTTTCCGGAGACCCAGGGGTTTTAGGCAGCTGCTGGGTAGACTTCTAGAGAACTGGGCAGGCAGCAGAGTTGGGAAACCAGAAAAGCACAGTGACCAACCTGTTCTCCAGCCTGGTTTCCATCAAAACTTGCACTGGAATCAACATAATTCTGTTGAATTAAATATAAACTCAAAAAAATTGACAGTGTCTGACAGCACTCTCTTCTTCCAGCTGTTCTTTCTAACTAACTTTATGTGTTCTTCCTTTGTGAAGAAAGGGCTGGCTGGGGATTAGGTAATAAAACTCAAGTGCTTCAATAAAAATATCTTCTTGTCTCATTTATCTAACTGGCAGCTGTAGGAGTGGAGGGTTTGCTTGCTTGTGCCTGCAGCAGAATGTTTCATTTCCCTAAATGTGTCCAGACTTTGGAAGGCAGAAGTGGTGCCGGAGGACAATGCTCTGTATCTAACCTTAGACCTCTACAGTGTAGATACCAATATGAGCTAGTTTCCATGAGTGCCCTTTATAGTCAGTGGAGATAAACTGATATTTTTGGACATGATTCATCTTGATCTATTTTAGATACCTGCTTTGGGACAAGGTGAACCGGATGTGAGAAGTGCTTGATTCTCTCAGCTGACTGTAAAAGATGTCCAGTGAATTGGTTCAGATGCAGAGGGATACCCTGAGTTTTCTGCCTAGCTTCCCTCCTTGCCTGATGTATTTCTGACACCAGTCCTATCACCACTCGCTAGCTCCATAGGAACTTCATTAATTCTGGATGAAATTTTCAGTGACATTTTGTTGATGGCAGTGGGGCATGGGGCATGGCTTCTCGGGATGCTTACCTGTTCCCTCCTCTCCAAAAAACACATCAGGACTTGTGGTCACTGGATCTTATTAAGCGCCTCATTAGTGTGAGAGCCCACAGAAGGATGTACAGAACTTGCACGTCTGCTGCATCTGGCTGCATTCCAGCTGTTTTAGCATTCATCTATCTGTAAATGCTGAGGTTTGAATATGGTTCTTCGTGTGGTAGACTAAGTCATCGATCCTGACAGAGCTGCATATGATTTGAAACAATTATCATTCCTTGCACAAGGGAAACAGCAATTTATCTAATGTTGTCAGTAGTGATTAGGTTTAACTTGCAGCTCCTGGTAGCATAATTGGCAGATTGCAAATTTTAATGCCATTTGGAGGAACGCTTTAGAACAATAACCTCAGTTGTTAAATTAATATTGGAGAACATGAATACTTTTGCTAGAAATGCCTCCATGTCTTCCATAAGCTTATCGTGTTATACTTACTCAGAAATAAGTTCTCTGAAGAGCAGGAGGCTGAATACATATCAATCCAATCACAGGTGACAGATTCGCAGACCTTCTCACCTTGTCATTCTGGATAGTTAAGAGTTTTTACCTGTGCTCCCAGGCCTACGGGTCACATTTTGCAGTGAAGCACTGATGTGACTAGTGGCTTATAAAATGCTGGTTACCATTTAAATATCTGTCTGATTATTAGGAACTTCTGCTGGATGTTTTTTCAGTTCTTGACGTATACCTCACCATGCAAAATGTTTACTGTATTTATTCCAGTGTTGCTCACCTGCACATACAGAAACACCCTCACAAGGAAAATAAGAAGTGGTTTCCTTTAACAAGTTCTCATTCTGTACTCTCATCATTGCCTTAAACGGGATATCAGTAACTGCTACTGGTGATTCATCAAGCTACAAAAAAGGGAAGCTGGCTTCTTTACCTCTGAGAGTTACCTGCCCCAAAACATATGCATCATTTAAAACCCACATTTTCAGATTTGTGGTTCGGGCTGTGTCCATTCGGACAGCTAAATGCGTTAGATATACCCTTCTCTGCCTTGCAGTAACTGGAGCATGTTTACAGTCACTTGTATAATAACAAAATATACCTCTCCTCCCTCTTACAGCTCATACCAATGTGGTTGCCAATGATACAGTCAAATCTAAAGGTAAGTTGTTTCTAGTACCTTATTCTTTAAATTAGTGTTATATATTTCTGTAAATTCTGGAAATAAGATCACTAGATGTGGTCTCCAGACTCTCTGAAAATAGATCATTGTCACATGTCCAGATGCACTGAATGGCTCAGCGCTGAAGGTCTCAAGCGTGAGCATACACAGAACATCATCAGCTAAGATAGCTTGACCTGTAATCAGAACTGTTCTCCCGTTCCCTTCTGAAACACTTTCCTATAACCTTTCTTCCCTGTTTACTGAGATTAGTTATTCCCTGAGCTGTGGTTTTCTTGATGTCTTAGGTTTGAGAGTCCCCTGACACATCAGGATTGCGACTCTGGACTCAGGAGATGGATTTGGGTTCTATAGCAGATATTGTGGGCCTGCTTGCTTGGGTAAAACTGTGCCAGCTGGCCCTGTTTGTAAGAGAGAGCAAGGTGGATCAGTGTGGTTTGCCAGCCAAGAGAATTTTAGTGATGAGAATAGAAATGTTGGAGTTGGTCTCAGCATGGAGTTGTTTCTGTAAGCACATTCGCCTTTTAGGGCAACACTACAGTGCAGAATGTGGAAGAAAGAAATGTGACATTGGGGCAGTGGAGGAACTTTCCCTGGCCAATATCCAATACCTTTCACAGTGCTGTATTAATGCATGTATTAAAGGAAAGAAACTGAATGTTTTGCATTATTTCAACAGCATTTATCTGCTGGACTCCAGCTACGCCTCCAAGCCATCCAGAGCAATGTCAACCATCACAGCCTAAGGATGTTACAGGGGTCAGGACAAATGAACAATAGCTCATCTGTGCTCCGCAAGTGGCTGCAGTGTACCCAATTTAAAATGGCCCAAGTAGAAATTCAGTCGTCAGAAGCTGCATCTCAATTTTATCCTTTATGATTCATGTAATTTGTTCCAAATGTTCATTTTTTAGCTTAGCAATAACAGGGTTAGAGCTGTAAAAGACCTTTTGTATAAATCAGTATACAGAATATATACTGTATCTATACTTTTTACCCTAGGACAGATGGTGGAAAAGCTTATAATGGGTGAAGCTAAGAGCCTGATCCTGCCAGTCTTTAATTACACTTACTTAGGATCAACAGGTTATCAAGTCTGCATTCGTGAACATGTGTTTGCAGGATTAGACTCAAATCTATCACATTGTACATATCTCTCTGATCATTGAAATATCGTGTTCTGAAATCTTTCTTTACATTATTTTTGAAGCTAAGACAAAAATCACTTTTCTTTAACTTCTATTTTTTTTAAAAATAGAATTGTGGGTATTCACAAACATATGGAAGTGCTATGTTGCTATTTTTTGATGATAATGAAAGAAAACAGGGGTTTTAGGAACCTTTATAGGAGTTGGTTTTTTGGGGGGGTGTCTTTTTTCTTTCTTTTTTTTTTTTTAGATTCACAGCTGGCAATGCAATAAAACCTGTCACTATAAAACAGTGATGTTCCAATGAGGCTTTTTGTCATAATCTTCTGGGAAAACAGCAGCTTGTAAGGAGAGTTATTATAAAGTGCACTTAGAAATTAGGTGGTTAAACTGTGCCAATTCATTTGTCTTTTTCTTCAGTACTGCTTTCCAAAACTGCCAAGTCTGATTTATTATTTTTTGAAATATTACTTTTACTTCATTGATTCTGTGCTGCTCTTCTTTGTAGGTTTCACAGAAGCCTCTTTAATTTTGTGACTACTGTATTGTATTCTTCTGTCAATACTTGTATACAGTGCAGTTAAAAATGGATATCCCAGACCTATTCTTATTGATGTCTACAGAAATTATGTTGCAGACTTCAAGAGGAGCATGATTGGACCTGAACTTTTGCATAGTGATATTTACAAATCACAGCATTTGCATACTATTGTATTAAACATGATGTTTAATAACGGATGGATTTGAATATCATTAAGGGACTCAGTCAAAGCCCATTGGAATCTAAGTAGACTCAATTAATTCAGTGGATTTTACATAAAATCTTAAGAGCACCATGATTTACCACCTCTTGTAATTAATACTTAAATCTGTGCAATCACAGTTGTATTTTCTGTATTTATTCCTGTAATGCACTGATTAGAAGAATAACAAACACACATTTAAGTTGTGTATTAGAATGCTATTAAATTCCTAGTCTTTATTACCACTCTCAGAATCAACATTTTTCCTCCCTGATTGATTGCATGGAAGTGGAAAGGCATACCTGTAAAGAACTGCCTGAGTACATTTCAGTTGCTGTGGAGGGTCAATCTTTCATCAGTGCATTTACCAAAGAAAAAACTGAAATGTTTGCAGATATGCCAATAAAGTAGCATTATGCTTAAAAAAAACCCCTCAAAACCAAAAAACCTAACCAACCGACCAAGGAAACAAAAGACAGTAAAGCATGTGCTGGCTTGCTTTAAAGATGACCCTCTCTGTGTTTTCAGTGAATAGAAACTGATTTGGCTTTCCTTCCCAGATTCATACATTTATAGAGTCTAAGCTTAAAATGGACCAGTCTATCCAAAAGAAAATCTAAGATTCATCATAAGGTATGGAGAAGAGAAGACTGAGAGGGGATCTTATCAATGCTTAAAAATACCTTAAGGGCAGGTGGATGACAAGAGGATGGGGCCAGACTCTTTTCAGTGGTGCCCAGCAACGGGTTAAGGGGCAATGGGCACAAACTGAAACACAGGAAGTTCCATCTGATATGAGGAAGACCTTCTGTACTTTGAGGGTGGCAGAGCACTCGAACAGGCTGCCCAGAGAGGCTGTGGAGTCTCCTCTGGAGATGATCAAAACCTGGCTGGATGCAATCCTGTGCAACTTGCTGTCGGTGACCCTGCTTTGGTAGGGGGGTTGGACAAGATGATCTCCAGAGATCCCTTCCAACTCTGACCACTCTGTGATTCTTGGTTCTGTGTAATTGTAACTAGTTTTGCTTGTATCTGGCTTGCATCCGAATAAGCAGTTTTTGCGTTTCTGGAAAACATTTCTGTCTTGATGTGAAGATTATCAAGAGATCCACCAGATGATAATTTCTCAATGTTTCAGGCATTGATTTTTGTCAGCCTGAATTGAGATTACACAGACCTGCATGCATGCATAAGGGATGGCTTCTTTCCAAATTTTCGTAGTTGTAAGAGAGGGAAACAGTCTTTCTCCAGCTTTTGACTCGCTATGGGGAAGAAAGAACAAAGTGATACAGAAATGATTATACATGTTCCCATCCCTTCTTTTTTCCCCTCCCTTGTAACTTACTAATTGGCTAATAGTCATTACAGAATCACAGACTGGTTGAGGTTGGAAGGGACCTCTGGAGATCATCTGGTCCAACCCCCCTGCTCAAGCAGCATCACCTAGAGCCAGCTGCTCAGGACCATGTCCAGATGGCTTTCAATATCTCCAAGGACGAAGACTCCACAACCTCTCTGGGCACCCCATGCCAGTGCTCAATCACCCTCAAAGTAAAAAAGTTTCCTGATGTTCAGATGGATTCCTGAAGGCAGGTCTTGCCAGTAAAGACTGAGGAAGAAAGCATTCAGTACTTCAGCCTTTTCCATGTCCTGTGTAACCCGTCCCCTGTCTTATTCAGCAGTAGGCCCACATTTTCCCCAATGTTCCTTTTGTCACCTATATACTTAGAGAAGCTCTTCTTGTTGTCTTTGACATCCCTTGCCAAGTTCAAAATCCTGCTGGGCTTTAGCTTTCCTAACTTCATCCCTGGATGATTGGACAGTGTCTCTGTATTCCTCCCAGGATACTCGTCCTTGCTTCCATCCTCTATGTGCTTCCTTTTTGTGTTTGAGTTTGGCCAGGAGCTCCTTGTCATCCACACAGGTCTCCTGGCTTTTTTTGCCTGACTTGCAACTCATTGGGAGGGACTGCTCTTGAGCTTGGAGGAGGTTATCCTTGAATATTAACCAGCTTGCTTCAGTTCTTCCTTCCTCCAGGGCCTTATCCCATGGAACTCTTCTGAGCAGATCTTTGAAGATGCCACAGTCTGCTCTTGTGAAGTCTAAGGTTGTGAGCTTGCTCTTTACCCTCCTCCTTCCCTCAGCATCCTGAACTCTGCCATCACTGCAGCCAGGGCTGCCTTTAATCTTCACGTCCCCAACAAGCTCCTCATTGTTGGTGAGTACGAGGTCCAGCAGAGCACCCCTTCTCATTGGCTCCTCTATCACTTGGGTGAGGAATTTGTCATCGATGCACTCCAGGAACCTCCTGGGGTGTTTATGCCCTGTGGTATTGTCCTGCTAGTAGATAATGAAGTGGTTGAAGTCCTCCATGAGGACCAGAACCTGTGAATGTGAGGATGCTCCTATCTGTAGAGGGCCCCATCTACTTGTTCTTTCTGGCCAAGTAGCTTATAGCAGACACCCAGTACAATGTCACCCCTACCTGTATTCTCTTTAATCCTTACCCATAACCTCTCAGTTGGCTACTCATCCATCCCCAGGAAGAGCTCCATGCACTCCAGCGGCTCTTACAGAAAGGACAACTCTCCCTCCTTGTCTTCCCAGCCTATCCTTGCTAAAGAGCCTGTATCCCTCTATTGCAAAACTCTGGTCATGGGGACCATCCCACCACGTCTCCGTGATTCCAATGAGACTGTAACCCTGCAGCTACACACAGGATCTCTAACTCGTCGTGTTTATTCCCCATACTGTGTGCATTAATGTACAGGTACTTCAGAGAGGCCCCCCAGCATGTTGATTTCCCAGAAAGGGTTTTGGGGATTTCTCCATAGTAGTGCCTGTAGGCACTTCCTTGCTCATATGCAAAATCCTGGTGGTGATCCCAGTTGAGCCTCGTTTTGTTGATTTTGTGATCCCTTCCTGTCACATCACCCCTGGCTCTTTGTTCATTGAACTTGTCTGTCACTCCCTCACAGGGGTGCAGTTCAAAACTAAGCGGTACACAGTTGTAACTTTGGCCTGCAGGCAAGAAGGAGCGATGGACTGCGTTTTTAGTGGTATTGACTCCTGTTCCTGGGCTGTGTCTTCTTCATGCTTGTGTCTGCAATACAGATGATAACTTTGCTGGGTAACCACATAAATAGAGCTCAGGTTCACTTATTGCAGGTCACCCTAGTGAAATGGAAGTCCTACTAGGCCCCTGAAAGCAGGAGATGTAGGAGAGAGAGATATTTTTGTATTTTAATCTGCTGTGACCTGCTGAATCTGAAAGACAGCTGAAAGGCAAGGAGAGAGAGGGAATATGAGGCCCTTGGGTGTGAGGTGGGTGAACTCAGATGGGTGTAATCGGGATTGTGGAAATTTAAATGGTGAAGACAGATGATTTGTGGGGAAGAGCAGAGCCTGGGAAAGTTTGTCTTTAAAAGTCACTTCTAGAAAGTAGAAGCTACGGTCAGGCATCTCACTCAGTAGATAATGAAGGCAGGCAATATGGTGCAAGCACTTTGCTGCCTAGCAAAATCTCTGCTTCAAAGCATCTAGTATTCAGACTGGCAAAACACAAGAAGAATGCAAATATAGTGGTGGGTAGTTATTAAACACAAGCCGAAACCAGACCTGCTGAATCCAGGTCCTTATAAATACTTACAGGAATTTAGATCTGGTTTCAGCTCAGGCTTTAGAGATAAGAGCTGGTCACAGAATCTACTTCCATGTCTGAACATAGGGCTTAGTATTGATCTGTCACTGATTATAATTAATACGGTTCTTATAGAGCTGTTATATGTAGGCAAATTAAGGCTGTAAATATGAATTAAGAAGCTGCTTTAGCATAGAGAATATAGCCTGGAAGATGGTGTGACCAATGATTAGGGATGTGTTGCCTAATAATAACAAACAACATGGGGCTTGGCCAGATATGCATGGTTTAACACCTCATGAAAATCTCTTAAGTGTACTCTAGGCATCTTCAGAAGTACAGAAATCTGCATTAATTGTTTTTAAAAGCACTGTAGAATCTATCTTTACAGTTCCTGATGTCAATATACAACTCAAGTGAATCACTCACATTATCTCTCTGAAATAGCCCAGAGCAGCAATTCTTTATATTCTGTAGGAAGATTAGGAAGCGAACATTTGGTGTTCCCTGAAAATGCTACCAAATAGCAAAGGCCCATCTTCCTGCTCTGCCACGCTCCTAGCACGGCTGTGTCTCTGGGGATGTGTCACCAGAAGCGGAATCTGTTCTCTCTCTGATCATAAATAGCTGCTGTTTAGGAACAACGTTTAGTCATCTGTTGCAATAAGCTGCTTAAATCAATGCCTGTTACCAGGCCTGACCTAGTAAAAGAATCAATTTACTGTCTGCTGAAGTATGAAATTTTCAACAACACAGGGCACTTTGGACGAAGCGATGGTCAAAACCCCGCACCGGCCGTGACGCATCCTACCGCGGAATTACGTAACTGGGTGTCCTGGAAGCGAGGTTAACATCTACGCTGGGCACCGCGCGGTGCTTTGCTGCTGCCAATTGAGAAAACCGCTGTCTGAGCTACTCGCAGGATCACACAAACAAAAGGCTTTTGCAGCACATCAGTTACTATCTACATACATGCCTTATCTTATATGTAACATTTCTGTAACATCTCATTAGAGCTGTGGCAGGTCAAAGGCCCTAAAAACACACAGTTGTTTTTCTGGCTCTGTTTTTCATGCTATGACAACAGTTGATGTGCTCTAGGACTGACGAAGGTTCTGGGCCTGAAGATCTCTCTGAACTCTGGCCTGCATGGCCTCCTTTCAAGCTGGATGAAGATTACCAGAGCCCAGGGCTGTTTAGTCTTTGCTAGCGTGTCCTGGAAAAGAGCTCTGCAGCAAAGGTTCCTGGGCTGTTCCCCCAGCTGCATGCAGCTCTGGGAGAGTTCCATCCACTCTTTTTCTTTTTGCATCTTAATATAACTCTTCAACAGGGCCGAAGTCTATATCCTGTCAGCAGGATCTGAATCTTGATTGCACAAGGGCTGCTTAGTCAACAACATGGGTCTTCGTCTTAGCAGTCTGACTAAAATCAGGCAGAGGCAACAGCATTACAGTTGGCTTAAAGTTGACATGCTGTTTGTTTGGCTTGATGCGGATTTGAAAGGAAGAGCTCTGCATTTGTCTGTTGATTCATAACTCTGAATTACTCCATCCACTTCTGCCTCTCCCTGCTGAGCACAAGTTCAGCTGGAGGCCGAGCACCAAG